AGCCAACAAGAGTAACCACCTAAGAAGGGACAGGAAAAGGAAGGACCGCCAAAATACCCCATACTGCCGCCAAGAGAAGCACGCAGGTGGGACACCTACCACGAAGCCACCCGACCACCAACCGGAGGCAAGACCACAAGGCAGAACAGAAGCAGCCCTGACAAGGCCCCCCCGAGCCCAGGAAAAAGGCGGAGCCGCGAGAAGATCTCGGGCGCGACCACCGAAACCCAGGCGGCACAAGGAGATGGAACGTCTGCCGAACAGAAAAACTCCCCCAAGCATGCAAGCCCGCCAGGAGTTCAGAAACGACGGGTCCGACGCGAGACATCGCAAGAACCCCCCCCAAAAAAAAAATAAAACAACAACAACCGGCAGGGCAGGAAAACCAAAGAAGGCGGAAGGGTCGCCGCCAGAACAGGACCCGAACCAAGGGGCACGAACAACTGCAATAGACCGAGACAAAGAAGCACATCACAGGACACAGGCTGACCAACGCCTAAGAATACACGCAGAACATCCCTGCTGCAGAGGAGACAGGAAGAAAGAGCAGAAGCACAAAAAAAACCCAGGAGAACAACCAGGGGTGGACAATCAGGCAGGGACAAAAACCGCACGCAATCCCCAGGCACAAAACGGCAGCAAAGTGCCACTCCACAACCGGACACAGGAACAAGGACACGCCACCGTGAAACACGGTACCAATGCACACGTGCAGCAGCAGCAGCAACTTGTAAATAGCAACTCCCCTCTGCAAAGGCAGAGAACGGAGCAGGCAGACCCCAGACAGGGCCAACGGAGACACGACAAAAACCTTGCAGGCCCAGAAACCTGCACCAGGCGACCGACGGCGGAGAAACCCCGCTCGATACCTGCAGGATGAGGTACTGGGAGCTCTTTTACACCTGAAGCCCGGTCCAAGGCTAGGCCAGACCGGCCAGAGGATGGCCCACCAGGCAGCTGCTAGGAGCAGTCCACCGGCCCACATACCCCCACAACCAGGACGGGCCGGAACTGCCATACAAAAACAGGCCAGTGCGCCCTGGAAGTTCACGGACGAACCAGCAAGAAGGCTTATGCTCGCAAGTAGGTCGTGTAACAAGCACAGACCACTGATGGTAATACAGTGTCCCCCAAAAGTGCCAATAGCACCACTGCACTCCACTGGTACTATCCCGCAAGTTCTACCAGATAGGCGGGACCCAAGAGCCAGAGCTCAAATCCTGCAAGCACAGCCAGGAGCCTCACCAGGTGAGTACAGAACCAACCCTACAACCCCCATACCTCACAACATTAAAAAGGAGCCAAAAGAGGAAGCAGGAAAAAGAAAACCGGCCAAAGAAGCAAAGAGCCCAAAAAGGAATCCAACCGGGCGACAAGTAGCCCAACCGGGCGACAAGTAGCCCAACCGGGCGACAAGTAGCCCAACCGGGCGACAAGTAGCCCAACCGGGCGACAAGTAGCCCAACCGGGCGACAAGTAGCCCAACCGGGCGACAAGTAGCCCAACCGGGCGACAAGTAGCCCAACCGGGCGACAAGTAGCCCAACCGGGCGACAAGTAGCCCAACCGGGCGACAAGTAGCCCAACCGGGCGACAAGTAGCCCAACCGGGCGACAAGTAGCCCAACCGGGCGACAAGTACGAGGAGCCGACAGACGTTCCAATAATGCGGGAAGTAGCGAAAAACCTTCCCGTACCCTCGAGAACACAGAAGCCAACACTAGTCCCGAAGGCACACGAAGGCGCAGGCGCACCCGAGATCAGAAGTCACGCAGAACCCCATCGAACGGGGAAACATGACAAAAACACCGTCCCAAAAAGGGGGGGAGAGGAAACATCCACCCACAGGACGGAACCAACCGACTCAAAGGCCAAGGAACCGAGCCCGGGGAGGGGGCCGACGTCCAACAGCACGTACGGCGAGTGGGGAGGAAAGACCCCACTCCGCGTAACCACAAGCCCCGCCTAGAGGGGGATAAAAACCCCCACGGGGTCTAACGGGGCCAAGGCCCCCCCCAAGTCAGCCCCTCCCCAGCCCCGGGAACCTACACGACAGGCCCCGGGGCCGAGCCGTTCCCCCCAAAGCCCCGGCCGTACCAGAAAACCGGGGCAGCCGTGAAAACACTAAGGAAGGGAGCCCACTGGCAGACTCATACAACACGGCTGGAGGAACAGGCCCAAATGCCCCCGTCACTACCCCGGAAGGGGAATTCCCCGAGACTGCCCGAGTCTCAACACCACCAAAAACCCCGCCCCGAACCTACAGACCGTAAGGAACCGGATGCAGGCAGGAAGGGTGAACCAGGGGAAAAGACAAGGGGGCGTGGATGGAACCGAAGCAACCAACACCCCCAAGTCCCAAAACGAACTACAACGGGGCAGCCCCGGGGCTCCCGGGGAGGAAACCACGAGAACGTTGCCACCACCAAGGCTCAAGTGCAACGCCCCTGCTGCCCGCACCCGCTGTGTTAGCACAACTGGGTAACCGAGCCACAACGAGCAACCAAACTCGCAGGACTCCGGGTCGAAGGTGTCACCGACCCCACAGGCAGCAGACGGAGGCAAAACAGAGTCACCCAGAGACAAAAGGTGAGAGCAACCCTCAAACTCGCTGGAAGCGAGGGGGGGCTCTGGGGTCACATCCATCGGACCCGCGCGCCCCCAGGGGTTTCCCAGGGTCCCGAGCGTTTACTTTAAGAGGACTCGCGCTCAGGTAGTCCCAGGCAGGGTACTGCTAACCGGCACCCAAAGCTACCAAACAACTTTCTAAGAGCTGAACCCCCGGGACGTGTACACTCACGGGGACCTAGCAGGGGGCACCACCAGAAAATACTCAGAACACAAGGGACACAAGGGGCAAGAACGAAGGCAGACCCCCCCACCAGGTAGATAAACAAAAAGAAAAAGAAAACCCCGCAAGAGGACAGCGTACCCAAGCGGAACAGAGCCGGCCGCTATGATTGGTAAAGACAAGCTGCACAGTACCCCGCGCCCCACCAGTGCAAACACTGCCCCTTACTCTAAGGCGAACAAGGGAGACAGAACCCCCGAGCACACAAAGAGCGGCCGAAAACCAAGCAGTAAACGGCCAAGCAGGGGCAGGACCCAAGGAACTTGTGGAAGGTGGCCCCAAGGGCAGTACTTACAGGGCACCTAGGGAAGGGAACCCTAGGCGCATGCAGCCCGAGTACTGAAGAATCACTCCCGGCTCACGCACCACCTAGAAAACAGACACCACACTCTAGGTACAGTGCTGAAACAACCACTGGAGCCGGAGCACATAACCATTGCCTATAGCATCAGCCGAAGAACTGATGGGTGGATAGCCGGCGTGGGAGGTCTGGGGCTCCCCCTTCCCCCTCCTGGGGAGGGGGGAGCTGCGCAGACAGCGGCGCGGTGACGTATGACGTCATACTAGTTTCCTTGTTTTCTGTTGAAGAGTTCTATCCACTAGTTCGGCTTAGGTAGCAATTTTCACCAGAATAGGGGTTTGTTTTGGAATGCTTACCTTTCTGGATGCTTGACCCGGTCGATGGCAGACATAGAATGCTTCCAACCACACGGGGGTTTCTATAGGCCATTGCTCCCCTTGCCTCTCTGAGGGGGCCAGGTTCTGGCTCGTGGTCCCCGGTAGGCCCTAGAACTCCATACACATGACTGATGCCAAAGTCTGACATTAGCATATCAGCCGGTAAAGCTCCGGGGAGCCGACGGGGCTCCCCCCAGAAAAACTCAATGTTATAATAGCGAACAAATGTATAATGCATTAACGATTGTAGGTGGAGGTAGACTATATATTCATGCGTACCTCCCAACTGTTCAGATAGCAAAAATAATTGATCAGCCTTACCTACACGGGAACGACGATACTCACGCCGCCGCTGCTTCCTGACAACTGATCGGGTCGTCGTCGACGACCCCGTAGCGTCCAACCGACCCAGAGACCCTCTGCCTAAAATTATTTGAACACCATATTGAAATTCCTAGCGTATAACGCCAGGAGTGTGTAAATTAATATTTATATATGCATTATAGGACTTTCTAAAGTAATTTATAGATCTGAATATCATATATTGTCCAACAAACAAATGATTTAAGTTAATATTTTAATTATGCCAGATACAAGTTTCATCGCACACAAGAAGATACGTCAGCGGATTTTTTGTATTTTTTGCTTATTTATATATAAAAAGAGTTCTTAAATTCTTGTAAAGACATTATAGCGTGCATAGCATTTCGGGCAAGTCCTTAATCCTATTTTTTCCCCGGGAATACGACCCGCCAAACAAGCCAAACAACCTATTCTCTGCCAGGTGAACAGTTAAGGATCGTCGCCCGGTCAATCCTTCCTGGCCGGCAGGTCAAAGCGCTGGGGAAGAGCCGGGCGCGTGCTTTACCACTACACCACAGAGACTGCTCCGTGGCGTAGTGGAATTTTGAATTTTGAAACTTGACTAACCTAACTCAACCCAAATCAAACCAACTTGTATATATATCTCAAAAAAATCTAATCCAACCGAGGATATACTGCGTGTTGTGCTCGCATTTAAATCTTTAGTCTGTGACTGCTATCGCAGGGTGCTTATTTGTGTTGCATCTGACCATAAATAATCATCAATGAGTTTCTTAACATTAATTAATAGACCAAATTAGCCCCATCTTGCTTTTAAATTAGCCCAAAAAGTAGAAAGTAGCGAAATTGAAAATTTGGGAGCGCGGGGCTCTCAAAATTAGCCCAATTCGCTACTTGTAGCCCAATCTGGCACCCCTGTCTAGGTACTGGACGCTCTGATGACCTCACAAATTCACGTTACATGTTGTTGGTTGATCAATTACGCTGCCCCATAATTTATATTGTCAAATACCACTGGAAATGACGGGTTGTATAATACTTAAATGGAATCACAGTTTTGAGTGTGTTTTGGTTTGTCAAATAACATTAGTGTGTGAGAGTATGTGTAATTTTTTTTAGAATTATAAGGAGTACAAAAATTTTTCAGAATACAGTAACAACATATTTATTTCTTCCAAGTGCAGAGATCTTACACCTAGGATGTGATAAGATGTGTACATTGATTGCATACCGAAGCTTTGCAATGCCAGTTCTTTACATCTTCCCAGAGGCAGAACTAGGAATACTTTACAAAACATGATGGGATCAACAGAAAAGAATGAAATATATAACTATACAAAACATAACACAAGTTAGATTTACATGCCATCATTCACTCCATTCTCAAATACCGTGGACTTGCTACTGTATATAATATGCCCATTTTTTCTTTTAATCACTGCACTACTATGTATATGTTTAGAGTTATCCTAATTACAACAACTATACAAAAGGATAGTGATGTTTTCTTCACCTCAAGCTAATAAACACAGGAGTGATTAAAACTACCCGATATATTTGGTAACCTTAGCAAGTCCTCGATATCACTCACTTAAATACATTCCAAGTGATATTCTCAAGCATCCATTTGTGTTCTGTTGTAAAAAGGTTGCCTAATTTTATCTACACACGTTCTTTTAGCACTTATTACTGGATTCATAGATGTAATGGAATGTATTCACTTTTACAGCAATATTCAGCACCAATAGAAATTGCAAAAAATTATATCCTCAGTGGGGAAAAGCAAGAACTAATGAAGTAGAAAAACTACCAGGGGCTTTTGGAAACTTCTTGTTGATACACTAACATAAGTTATAAGAAATTAACAATTGAGACTTTGTTCCTTTTTACTCAACATGAATAATATTGGGTTCAGTTAACTCTGCAGTGCTATGAAACAACTTCTGTAAGCCCAAAATACTCAAGTTATCAAGAATGCTGTTGAACTTTATATATTAAAGCAGCAACATTTATATGTACACCATTTACAATAAAGGTTCTTGACACTTGAGCTAAGTGTTAATAAAAAATATAAAGGTATCTTGTCTGATCTTCCCAAGGAGTAAAATGCTACAGGTCTTTTATCTGATCTTTCCAAGGCACAAAAAGTAAATATTTTGTGCCTATCACTTGAGCTATATTATAAGTCAGGATACTACTTAACATATGATCACTTATCAATTAACTGGAGAGATATCTCATGTAGGTCCATATATATATATATATATATATATATATATATATATAATGCTCAATTATAATGTTATTACGAATGAAGAAAGTGTCATTGATACAGCAGTGTGTGTATGTGGTTTTTGCATGCATGTTTATGGGTTATATTTTTAAAATTGTGTGTACAGTACTTATCCATGCCTGCAGGATCGAGCTTCAGCTATTTGGTACCAAATTTACAGCCTCCGGTCATTGAATGCAAAGACTCCTGACCTAAATTTTTGGTACCAAATTTACAGCCTCTGGTCATTGAATGCAAAGACTCCTGACCTAAATTTCTGCTATCATATCTACTTCTGAAACTGAAGATGATGGAGCTGGCATCTACTACCCGTTCATCTAGTTCTTCCCATTTATCTACTAGTCCTAAAAAAAATTGTAGTACTTTCTCACAATTCTATGTTTTGGAGTGAGTGTGTGCGTGTATGTAATTTGTGTGTTTTTAATTGTGCTGTAAGGTATACTTTTTAACTCATTCTTCCTCAAGCATCTACTGTAGACTGAAAACAATACATTACCAATCACCTCATTATATCAGTTAACATTTCAGGAAATATATTAGTTATTTGTGTGTGCAGTATCAGCATTATACCAACAACAACTCTCAATGGGTCTCTCAGATTTTTTCTTTCAAACATTTTCACAACCTCATTAGCAGAAATGCAGATCAATATATCTGCATTACATATACTGTACTGTATTTAAAAATCTTGCTCAAAATAGAAAGTAACCATTATTAGATATAATAAGATATTTCTATTCTCAATCTGAACAAGTATATCCTAGCTGCATCTGTCACAATTTGAAGTAAAAATATTTCAAGAAGCAATTATACAATTGTTTATTATATAATTTAGTAATAATATAAATAATAAATTGGTTCCACTATGTTCCTAGTGTTTGACAGGCACCAATTAACAATAAGATGACATATGCCGACAAGTACAATTAAACGATTTGATCTATTCTGAACTTTGGCTGTATTCAGAATACAGTACTGTACAAAGTTACACTGAAATGCTCTTAAAACAAAAAACGTATACATTCCATAGCTAGTATATTTGAAACAAACTTAAATAGCAACAATAACTAGTTCATATGTTTATAGTTGTGAAATACCTGCAGTAATAATCAATAGGGAAAAAAAAAAGAGATAAGAAATAATACAATTTCCTGAGCAGAACACATTAATATTTAGCTTCAATGTATCTGCATTTCAAAGTTTTTTCTTATAATGCAAGCACACAATGATTGTTTTTTAACAAATAAGGACTGTAAATAATAATAATTCTTTAAGGATAGTCAAAGTTAAAATTTATGCATCTTGAGATATCCACATATCGCCTACTGAATTTAAGGACGGAAATTTTAAAATAAATAAATGCACAGACTGATACATTTTAAATTTAAATTGCTGCACATATCTGACAACATATAAAAAGATTTCAACATCATTTTGTACTAACGACCACACGTAGTTCCAAACGGCATGCGCACATGCCGTGGCTGTCTTACTAGCAGCCATGTAAATCATGTGCACAATTAGTCTCTGACAATATTACTAACTTACAGAGTGATAAAATTACCATAAGCTCATTCTTGGAATGGGTACTCGGAATGAAATATAAATGCAACGTATGTATCAATTTATGTGTAGTGTGCATTATGGAATGTACATCAAATCCCATGAAGAAGTACTAAGAATGCTCATGGAAAGAAAAAAAAATTACTTTCCAAAACTTATAATTACCTTGCACAATTTAAGCAGCAATAAATGAGTAATATTTAGATATGAAATTTTGCTTACAAAACAAATATTTTTCATAGTCATATGTTCATTCTAGCAAGTCGTCTAAAACAATAAAATACATCATATTAATAAAATATTGCCACTATTATATAGTCTGATGAAACCCTCACATCTCTTCCTGCCACATACTAGTTTTCTCCTTGTCTCTTATAGTCAAGTATACAGTATTTCTTTTAACATTTCTAAAATCTGGTAACAAAATACAGTTATTAAAGGGTTTAGCAATGGGGGATGATCAAACTAATAACCTATAAAACCATCAATGATTCATTTAAAATTAAACTTTATCTAAAACGTTCATTCATTCTTACCAACACACTGCAGATAAATAAAAACTATTTGCCCTAATCTAAAAAATAATGAGCAGAAAAAGGGGTTTTCTTTATATGAAAACTACCACTAAAGACAATAAACAGGTTAGGACGTTAGTGAGGAAAAGGAGAGACATCTGTGATGAGACAAACCAGTCTTCATTTTCTAGAACGTTATTGCTTTATTTTTTTCAATTGTGCTTGGCCATCAAGTTTAAAAAACTGCACCACCTTGCAGCAATCTTCTTCTTCAATGTAGTTTGGTGATGTAAGTTTTACAAGAGTAATCCATTTTACCTTGCACCAGACATAACAATGGAGGATAATCTTCAAAAAAAAATTTTACATCATGAATAAGTTATCCCCCCCAACAAATTCTTAACTAATAAAATTGCATGTTCAAGACCTTAGGTGGCCACCCATCTAGATGAAACATTCCTCATGACTTCTCTTATAAACACTATGAGGCCAAACACATTTTCCACTGACCATAAAAATGTTTATAGTAAAAAACATTGCATGTTCATGTATTAGCCATACGAGTATTATTTTAGTATGTTCTGTACAGTACTAACTTTATCATGCCTTTAAATGCATAAACCATATCAAAATTTGCATGCCAACCAGCTAACACTAATTTTTTTGGAATGTACAGCATTAATGTAAATTTAACCACACATCAGTTTGTTTGACCTGACCTCTCGCAAATAACATATTTTCACACTTTCCTTACCAAAATGTTTATATTAAACTAAAATGTATAGCAAAAAATACGAAGGTACTAATACACTCATAATGCAATTTTTCAAATTTTGTCAAATTGGGTTAATGTTTCCCTTAACTCTCAGACATCTGTCACCTCAAATAAGATGTGAGTAAGGTACTTCCAAATAAAGGGAACAATGCAAATTATTTAAAGGTTCTGATAAATTATGTCTCATAGCACACATTCTTGAGATAACACAGAAAATTCAGATGCATAATTTGTCATTGCTTCACCACAGTCTGCAATGTAGGACTTAGTCACTAAACATTAAGTAGTTAAATACTGATCAAAAATGGGTATATACAGGTTCAAAGGTGGAACGTCTGCTGTTTGAAGCAGCAAATTCACAATAAAGTTTTCAAAGCACCATAAATTAAAAACAAAAAAAAAGGAATGTCTTTACCAGTAAATTATTTACAATATCTTACATTATTCTTTAATTGTGTTAAGTTTTCCTTGGATACACGAGAACATAAAAGCTTAAATTACTTTTGCGATATGATAATGATATTCACATGTTCTATTCACTTGACAACCTCAATATTGCACCTCAACAGTCACTTAGATTGCTGTTCACGGACTGACACAGTAACTTATTAACACTAGTAAGTTACAGCGCATGTGAACATTTAGTAATTTACATTGCACTTATCAGCCTGTCGTGTCTCCAATATCTGCAAGACAAAATTTACAGAACATTGAATACGTTTATATTACAATAGCATCAACAGAAACTGTAATTAACCACTTGGTCTCTTTTATATATATATATATATATATATATATATATATATAATTGAACATACCATAGGAAATGCCTGTGTAGGTTAATTTTCTATCACTCGTAATTTATACAATTCAGTAAGAAAATTTAAATTTTACTTAATTTATTTATGTCTGAAAATTTACTCTTAATATTCAGAGTCAAACAAATTTTGTGGGTCAGATAATGTGACGAATATGATAAAATGTTATAATTATCCTTAAAATAGTACAATATATTACTCTAAGAGGAATGACTGAAAAATTCCTTAGGCCCTACCTACTTTAGACTGATTCAGACATATGGATATGTTTAAACTCATTCCCATGAGCTTGTTTCACCTCCAAATGAATCACTGGTATCAGTTTATTCTTACAGCCTGGCTAGACAAGAAAAAACAGCGATATGTATCCAGGGGAGCCCATGGAAGACAGACAAACAGAGCAGTAAAAAACACACTCCTTTGGACCACACTGTAAAAATGTGATCTGATACTGAATAGGTTATTTAAATGTTAGGTACTGTATTGTTGACGCACTAGTAGCCTACATGCATACCGCTTATTAAATACTGTTCGGAGTAAGTGTCACTGATCACTACATAATCACTGGAGACTGCATGTGCGGTAAAAAATATTTTCACTACATACACAGGCCAAAAACTTTTTTTTTTAATCAGAGTACAGTTCAAAACTTTTAAATTTGATTAGACCTTGCTTCAGATGTTCATACACACATCAGGCTGTTGTGCAAGGAAAGCCTGGGATTTATTCAGAAGTATGAAAACTATTATTGCTATGATGAAGGTGCATACCAAGAGCCACCGGCACGTAGACTATCATACGATGATGTGGATTTTGCTGCATTTGCATGATACAGGTGAAAACTGGAAGGAGTATACAGTCCAGCTTGGTCAGAAAGAGGTGCAGAATATGCTGAAGAGTCTAAGGGCACTCCTGAAGACCCATAGGAGTATACTTGTGGTTTGAGAGGCACAGGCTGGGCAGGCATACCACCACCATCACCTAGGTAAGTTCCTGATGCTCCTCGCAAGTCTCCACAGTCTCCAGCCATTTTTTCACGAGGTGAGACACTAGATGGCGGCGTCATTGCAGAATGATAATCAGGATAGCCAGAACCTGTAAGGCTACCTCCAGGATAAGGGAAATCATGTCCCTTACTGAACATTGCATCTTGATAACTCTCTGATCCTGGTGGAGTTGGGAGGGCTGAACCCATTTCTGAATAATATGACCGTTGAACAGATGACCGTATAACACTCTCACGACTGGCATAGAGTTGTCTTAAAAGAGTAGAAGCTGGTAAGGAAGAACTCTGCTGTCCACTTGTACCCCCTACCCACTGAATAGTGGAGCGCTGCCCTGTACTACTAATGCCAGTGGAGGTGCATCCACTCTTTAAAAGAGCATCTGTTGAGAAATCCGTAGTATCATCTGGCAAGTGTCGTGTCATGGCTGCTTCCAAATCCCTCACCGCACCTTCGTCACTACGAGTTGGTGGTACAACTGTGGCACCAGGAGATGATTCCAAAGGTGTGGTGGTCATCATTGGTGTGGCTCTAGCATGAGGGGTGCCCGGAGTTGAAACTGGCGGCTCAGAAACACAACCAGGGGATGATGCTCCTTCACAACCACCTCCTGAGTCCTCTGTAACGTCAGCATTCCCCATCGGAGTCAATAGGCCGCCAGGGGCCTGCAACACAAGTTTTGTCAGACTCTGCATTTTAACTAATTGTATGTTTGTAATTGTATAAACAAGCTACATTTCAATCTGAAAAATATCACAAGAAAACCGTGAAAAATATCCCTAAAATGCCAGATGTCAAATTAGTATTGTCAGTATATTAGTAGTCACCAAGCAAAGATTAGCATGGGTTAGTAATAAATCTTACAACTACTTGGCATATTAGACTTGGCTTAAAGATGCAACCAATTTTACCCTTGTAAACCACTTTTGGTGGCATTTTTTATACATTATAAAAATTATGCTTTAATATAAAACATCAATATTCTTTAGCAACATTTGAAGTTCTGACATAAAACTCTGCCATATCTCAAGGAAATGTCCAATCGTCAGAAAATATATTTCAGTTTCATTAAGCATTGCAACACCACATTTTAAGCAGCCATATAAAAAATTTATTATTTTTTTATTATTATAACACACATTTTTACTGAGGTAGTTACTGAATGATGTAGCTCAGTACACCAAAATTTGCTAGCAAAATACACACACACACTTAATACAAAATACTGTAAAACATTTCACTGCATGATGGCTTATCATTCTTACATAAGCAAGCAAGCAAGCATGCAGTTAAAATTTATGTATACCATGATACAAAGTAAAGGAAAGGATTTTTGTGTATGGATTTTGGCTTCTTGGCAATTATATAGCACTGGAGTTCAAACAATAACCTCCAAGATGCTGTCAAATGATATTAAATAATCGTGTCTTTACTTTCAAGAAGTCTCTACATTTTGAATATTTTCTGGGTAACCTTTATATATTTATTTTGAGTGTGTTTGAGACTGGCAGTAAACAAGGGATCTATTGTAAATATTTACCCTATTCATGCAGGGTGCACCATCACCCACCCTGTTAATAAAGTGTTAATCACGATGTTATTACCTCCGTTTTAATCTGAGCCCCATCTAAGGGAACACTGGGTGTACCTCGGAGTGGCGTGGAGATAGGCTCTGACTGGCCAGTGGGGGAGCGTGTGCCCCCCGAGCCCCCTCCCGTAGTGTTGATGGAGGACCTTGGGGATCCGCCCGTTTCCTCACCCACCACCCTCGAACTGCCTTCTGAGGAAAAATGATTGACATTATGAGGTTTTAAGGGAAAGATGAACTTACATATATAAATCTTGAAGACTAAAAATTTTAGTCTTCAAGGGGGTCCCGATAGCACTAACATCGCACATCATAAAAAATTTTGAGAGAGTGCTAAAAAGTAAGATCACAAAATACATGGAATCACAGCATCTCCATAACCCCGGACAACATGGTTTCAGAACAGGGCGCTCTTACCTGTCACAATTGCTGGACCACTGTGACATGGCATTAGATGCCATGGAAGACAAACAAAATGCTGATGTAATTTACACAGATTTTGCAAAAGCCTTTGACAAATGTGACCATGGATGGTTCAGGCAGTGCATGAGCAGGCCGGAGGTGAAACAATGCATGAGACAACTTGTGAAATGGGGCTGAAGTAACATCAACACTGAAAGCAAGCTGAAGCGGCTTCACCAATGCCGCACAATACGAAGCGACAGTATTCGCCATAAGATGATGGTCCTAAAGCAACCAAGAGAGAAAGGACAGAACAACCCTATTAGAGACTGAAGAACACTGACGCAGTGATAGGAAAAACCGGAAGGACTGCCAGGAAACCTCATACTGCCGCTGAGACGAAGCACGCAGGTGGGAGACCAACAATGAAGCCACCTGCGCACCATACAAGGAATGATAAACCAGAGTCAAAAACACCAGATGTGAAGACTCGAGGAGAAGACCAAACCAGCCTCGTACAGGGCTGGACCGATCTGCTGAAAGTGGTGGAGCCGTGGGAAGACCCTCAGGTTCGGACACCAAGCAAGCAGCACCTGAAACCAAGGCTGGGCTGGCCACTAAGGAGCCAGAAGGACAACTCGACCTTGGTAAGTCTCCAAGCGAGTCAGGACCTGAAGCAACAGCGGAACCGGGGGAAAGAGGTACAGGTAACCCCAACTTGCCCAGTCCTGCCTGAAGGCGTCGACCCCAACGGCCTCGCAGTCGGGGAAGAGCGCCACGTATACCGGGAGACGCCTCGACCACGCTGACGCGAAGAGATCCACGTCTGGAGTCCCGAACGTCCGGCACAGCCAACTGAAGGAGTCGGCATTGACCGTCTATTCCGTGGAAAGGGGAAGGAACTGGGACAGCCCATCGGCTAGGACGTTGGACACCCCCGGATGTGAACCGCCAGGAGAGCCAAACCCCAGGAACTCAGCAGATGAGTCACCCGAAGCGACCAGCCCCAAAGAGCCTAGCATTGAACCCCCGCAGTTCAGACAATGAACCACCGGGAAGCAGTCCGAATGGAGCCTGATCGTTGATCTGCGAGCGACTCGAATCCTCCTGAGCGACATCCACACCGCCGTGAACTCCTGTACCATGCTGTGAGCCCGACGGAAGGACATACCCCACCATCCCTGGCTGGCCTGGTGAGCACTGGTCACAAAGCCCCAGCCAAGAGACGATGTGTCCATGTACACATCGAGCGAGGGCTCGGGAAGGCGCCAAGGCACCGAACCCTGAAAAACCCGAAGAGGAAGCCGGCGACACAGCAACCGACGTAAAGCCCCCGGAGACCAAACCCAACAATCGCAAGAGAGTTGGAAGGGCTGGCCCCGAAGGAACCAGAACAGCCGACGAAGCCACACCCGACCCAGCGGGTAAACCATCATGGCAAAGTTCAGGCTCCCGCACAAACTCTCGAGCAACCACCTCGTGACCCGGGAACCCCTCAGAAATGGGCGAAGGCTATGATGTTACTGATGACAATGAATTGGTGTCTGTTACTGAAACACACCAGAAAAACAAATTACAGGGCAATACAAAAGAGGAAAAAAAAAAGGGGAGGGGAAAAATGATTAAGGTGCAATTCAGAAAACCTGACAATGAAAAAACAGCAATCATTGAATACTACAGGTTGCAAAGTGACACTTCAGAATGAGTGTGACCAGGACAAAAGATCTAACACTTAAAGACGTGTCAATTGTCCCTTTTGTTATCTCGACAGCAGCACTTCCTATAGAAATAAAGGTCAACTAAAAGTCATTTCACAGATAGCCAGTTAAAGTTTACTACCATCCGAAATAAGTTTCTGTTGACACTGACCTGTTTGCTCGGGTGTGGTTGAATTTGGGTAGTCCAAATCATCTGACTTCATGTTGGCCAAGGCTGGGTCTAGCTGGGTTTGATCGAGGACTAGGCTCTCATATTCTGCCCTGCTGGAAAGTTCATGACAAACCATGAAGAAAAGGGAAATAATGTATGCAACTTGTGTGTTGTTTTTAATATACTGCACAGCAAATACAGTGCACAAAGAAATCACATGAATCGGATGCATCAACGAGAAAATCGGTAGGAGCCATGAGAATTTGAACCTGCACACTGGGTACTCCCAAGCACACGCCTTAGACCATGCCTTACCTGAATATACTTGAGGGCCATTAACACTTCAGTGGCCTCTATGAGGACAGAGGCTTGTCAGAGGTCCCCCCCCATTTCCCCCTGATGAATTTTTTCTAGATGGATTTTAAAATTCAACAGTGTTTTGGCATTTACAGCTTTGGTGAGTAGGCAGTTCCATGAGTTTATAACCCTGTGAAAAAGCCCCTCCTGTTTTCAGTCCTACATTGTGTTGAACAGGTGTTGAATTAATCTTGAAAGCTGTTGCTCCTTGTCTGTGTTACATCTAACCTTTTGTAGAAATTGTCTGAATAACATCCCCCAAATTGTTCAGTATTAAAAGTTTCAATGAGATCTGCCCTGCCATGCCTGGTTTGCAGTGTTGTTAACCCTGTGGCCCTCAACCATTCCTGATACAAGAGTTGACAGTTCTAGAATTATTTTTCTTGCCCTGTGTTGTAATTTCTCTAAAGCAGCTATGTATATCTGAAGATGAGGTCTCCATGCTTGAATACAATAATCCAAGTGAGGTGTACCAGATATTTATACTTTTGAATCACTACCTTCTTTTCCTTAAAGTTAAAGGTATGCTTGATGACCCAGTTTTCTATGTTTTTACCATCGTTTTATCCATTCCAGTATTCTACCATTTATTCCATGTTCCTCTAACTTCCTTGCAAGTCTTTCATGTAGTACCTTATTATAGGCTTTAGCAAAATCCATGTATACTACACCCACCAGAAGTCCTTTGAGTAGCTGGTTTCCATTTCGAAAAATGTGAGCAGTTTTATAATGCAGGATCTATTTTTAACAAACCCATGTTACATCAGTTTTACAAGATCGTTCACTGTGTGATGGTGAAAGATTCTCTCCATGAACTTGCAGATGTGTGATGTCAAGCTGATCGGACAATAGATTTTTGTCGAGCTCTGACTACCATTTTTGAAAATAGCAGTGACATTTGCATATTTTTTATACGGCTAGGGGAACTATCCCTTAGCCCAAAGATTTTCTGAAAAAAAAAAAAAAGTTTCAGAAATAGGCATAGTTCCTCTATCAGTTTCTTTATGACTTTGGATTGAATTTCATCCATGCCTTAGCATATCATGGTTTCAAACTTCTATATAGTACCACAACCAGAGGACATGTGGGCAATGTATGAAACCCTCAGGACCCCCTAGAGGATTCAGTTGAATACCAGGTTGCATTGCTTTTAGCATGTTATGGTCTAGTGGTCTAAGGCGTGTGCTTGGGAGTACCCAGTGTGCAGGTTCGAATCCTCCTAATGGTTCCTACTGCTTTTCTCAGTAAATACAGTATACATTTTGCCAAGTTTATGAAAATTCCTTTAAATTCATAGTTACTGTATTACATTACCTCAGTGTTTAATACTGGCTCACTTGCATATAGAACGGTACAATATTTGTAACTAGATCAAAACTGGGCCAGTTACATTTACCTGATTAAGGAACACATTACAGCACAGTATTTAAAACTGGTCAAATAATGTATACAAACTGTGACACAAGTTTAAATTAACAGTTCTAGTTCTGAAATAATAATAATGATTACGGTACTGCATTATGTGGAAATTAATCCTCCACTCAAAATATTTAGAACAGTTTTTAAGAATCTTACTTAAGAAAAACTACATATTGAACCGTAACATTATTTTATGGTGTGAGCCAAAACATTATTTAATGGTGTGAACCATGACACGATTCAATGGCGAATAAAAACATTACTACCTTATGACGTAATTAACACAGATGATATTTTGTTCGTCGCCATTTTTGTTGTTTATGACCACAGTCGCACACGTTTGCATCCAGGTGTATCCCCCGGTCTTATTTAACAATCTGAAGTACGGACTCATAACTTGGCCTTTCTGGATCACTGAAAATATAACAAAGAAAATATAACTTGCAAATATATTACAAACATTTCACTTGGTTATAAATTGTGAAACATGACAATACTTGGCATTTATTCACAGAAATACAATATGCAGTACTTTTGCATGTGTAAAATACAATATCCAATAGTTTTGCATGTGTAAAATACAATATCCAGTAGTTTTGCATGTGTAAAATACAATATACATTAGTTTTGCAAGTGTAAAATACAAAATACAGTGGTAATGCATATATAGAGCGTAGAAATAGCTTAAGCTACTCTATTTATTTGGAATGTATTTGATCTTAATGCACTTACTTAAACTTAAAATACATGTATCCAAGGCACAAAGTTGGCTTATTTATAGATAAAGTAATATTAGTGCTATTGTGAACCTAATGAAGTACAGTATGTAAACGAATATATGCATGAAAGGGTATAACAAAAGGGAATATAATTAATATTTTAATATAACACAGAATAGTACTCGAAACAATGTATATAAATTAGATAAGCTTAGAGTTAGGATAGACCTGGGTGAATACTGGTTTGGAAACAGGGTTGTTGACGTATGCAACAAATTTAAACAAGCTGACTTAGTTCTGGGTTATTTTTATAGCTCTGCGTGAACTTTTACCAAAGCAGCTATATCCTCTCGAAAACGAGATTTCCATACTTGAATGCAGTAGTCCAGTTGAGGGTGCACCAGAGATCTGTACATTTTAAGTTGCAATCTGTAACCCCTTAATTTTTTTTTAAGTCATAAGTTGGCCATTTGTATAACAGCTCTGACTTGCTGTACAACTTTAAATTACTGGCAGATTATAGCTGAGGGATTGGTGATATGTAAATCAAAGGCAGGAAGGATTTTTTTGGCAAGGATTGTGTTTACTCATGAGATGATGTTGAACTTGGTAACTGTATCTGATTGGTCAACTAAGGACAAAGATTAACTAAACTCTGAAAGGTTAAATACTGTGGTTATGTGTAGTTTATTATTTAAATAAAGCTTCTCATGCCGGTGTAAGAAGCTCTGGGAAGAATCTCTTCTACACACATAAAAAAGGACAAATATTTACCATAAAATTTTAATTGTTAGCTTGGTTATCTTACAAGTGGGGCACTCACTACTTGTTGACCATCTACAAATTAACAGAAACCACTTAATTTATCTTATAAATATAGATGTCTCTACATGTTTTCCCCAAGAATTAAGAATGTTGGATAAAATTAAATGCCTTGACAAGTAGGCAAATAAGAGACTAGAAAGGAAGAGACAGGTATGCCAAGATAAAAGCAAGAAGGAAAGGAGACAAGAAAAAAATACTGAATGATATGACAATAAAAAGGTGGATAATGTGGAAAACTTAAAATGATGTGGCCACTGAAATATTGTACCCACTGTAATAAGAGAACATAAAATGATGTCATCATTGTAACAACATACAATGATGTGGTCCTTGTAACAAGAGAACATAACAAAATGTAGCCACAGTAACAACAGAATATAAAATAATGTTGCCATTGAAATGAGAACAGAACTGTCATTAAAAGACAAGGCCTAGTATTGTAGCTGGTATTACCTCCCACACAATACCTCACTGCCATGATAACTACTTTACATTCTGAAAGACTAAAAAACTGTATAATTATCAACATGTATACTCACAGTCAACATGAGTCTTGCGTAGCTTTTCAACATCTTGACCGTGACATAGGGAATACAATGATCGACCTTGGAGCTCATCTGCTGTGTAGTCTAACAAGTCTGCAACTCTGAGAAGAAATGTTTTAGTTAGTAATATCTAGTGAAAGGTATTTTTGTAATAAAGTTACCAGTTATAGCCATGCTAAATTGTATAAGGAAAAAAGTGATTCTATTTTATTTTTGAGCTGGGGCACTATCTCCTGTAACATAGAGGGGGAAAGAAAAAGCTGCAGACTAATCAAAGTTCCCCCACATTTTTCTTGAAGATTTTTAAAATTTTGCTTCAATAATTCATTGTGTTGAGGGACAGGCAACCAGGTTCTACATATAATACATGTTAGGCTTACATTGAGGCCTCCCTCAAAGTCAAATTACTGACCCTCCCCAGGATAGAACCCCACAAAAAGCTGAATAACCCCTGGGGTACCTATTTACTACTAGGTGAACAGGTACATTAGTTGATAGGAAATGTGCCCAACCATTTCTGTCCTGCCCAGAATTCGAACCCAGAATTCTCGATTGTGATTCAAGAATGAACCCAACTCTACTACCCGGACCCTGTAGCCATTTTTGACGTTGAGAATTGTCTTAGCATTTAAGGTTTCAATGGAAAGTAGATTCTACAATAAACTTCTTGTGTTAATGAAGAAATAGTGGTTTTCTTTACATTCCAGTGCAGTCCACTGGTTAAGGGGTTGTGTGCAGGATAAACATACCAGTTATAGCTCTTCCCACATGTCAGTTGCTTAACATTAGAGACTGAACTTGTGGTCGGTCTTGAGCTCATTGTTAATGTGACAATGTGCATTGAATTTTGTAACTAGTTGATCAAAACTAACTTGCTTAGCTAAATGAATTTTGGAGTTCATTCCCTGAGCCGATTATGTGCCTCTGTAACCCTTTCCACTACAGTACTGCCCACAGGATGGGTATGGGGTGTATAATAAATGAACTAAACTAACTAACAAATAACCATAAACAATTATACTGTATATGACTATATAACTTACTTTGGTTCACAGTGTGCTATTCTGAAGTCAAAAGTTATCCGGGTAACAAACATATCAGACTCGAGCCGCACTTCGTGAACTGAAGGTGGGGGGAGAGCAATGGCCAGGGCTACCAGACCCATCAGTTGTGGAGGGTTCTTGCGCGAGTGACTGAAAACGTACTGGGGGCGTATGTGTCCCAAGATCAACACAACCTGAACAAATAATCTCATAATTAGAAATTGTCAGTGTCATATGTAGAAAATTATGGAGGGATCTACATACATAAATAAATATTGAGGTTGTACAATGGAATTGAACCTGTGCTTTCATTATACTGTATGTATACATTATTCATTAGGTAATCTACTATTCCATTCATGCATATAGGTCAACTATCACTGCAAATGTCAATACAGTACAGTACTTCCAATTAAACAATTATTAAACTATTAAACAATTATTCCTTTATCATCCTGTAATAATTATAGTAATTTGAGTCACAGTAGGATAGTGTACACAGATATGAAATAAGAGATTGATATGACCAGATCTTACCCTGTAACCTGAAGACTTAAAGTGGCATCCTCTCTTAGTAAGTGTGGACTTCATGCGAATGCAAAAGGCACGGTCATAGCCCTTGAACGGTGAATTATTGTTGAGGGCCATACAGGTCGCCACTATCAACACCAGGCAGAGGGGAAAGAAATTAAGTTAATATTAGAATCAAGCAACATTTAAAAGTCAATGCTTAACCTAAGGATGCAGAACATGTCCAAACACATAACTGCAATAATTTATTGCACAACACTACCTTATTTCCACTGTAGACTATAATTTTCATTTTCTTAAAGACTCAAACCTATAAAACTAAGAATGCCATGCATAGTTCAGTGTAAGAATAAACCCTGTAACTTGAGGGCTTGTGTGAAATCAGTTGTGCAGTGGCTACAGCCTTAATGTGCAATTGCGGATCCTGGGTTTGATTCCCGAGCGGGACAGAAACGGTTGGGCACATTTCCTTTCACGCGATATCACTATTCACCATGCAGTAAACTGGTGCCCAGAAGTTGGGCAACTGTTGTGGGGTTGCATCCTGGGTAAGGTCAATAATTGCACCTAAGGGGGAAGGTGGGGGTGGACCTCGATACAAGACTAAGATATACATACACAGGCTTCCTGTCCTCTGACAAAACATATCATAAACTAAATATCAAGATTTCTGTACCCATAACTGCACTAAAACAGTGCAAAGTAAACAAATTCTTAGGGTTTATTAATGGTATCTTTATTTTACAGGCCGTCTGCAGTCCCCTTGCAGACGGCCCGTAAAATAAAGTGTGAGTATGCAGCTCCTTGAAGGGATGTGACAGCCGGATGGGAGCTGGGATGTGAAAGTCAGATGGGAGCTGGAATATGAGAGCTGGGTGGGTACTGGGATGTGAGAGCCAGATGGGAGATGGGATATGAGAGCTGGGTGGGTACTGGGATGTGAGAGCCAGATGGGATATGGGATATGGGAGATGGGATATGGGATATGAGAGCTGGGTGGGTACTAGGATGTGAGAGCCAGATAGGAGCTGGGATATGAGAGCTGGGTGGGTACTAGGATGTGAGAGCCAGATAGGAGCTGGGATATGAGAGCTGGGTGGGTACTGGGATGTGAGAGCCAGATGAGAGCTGGGATATGAGAGCCGGATAGGGGCTGGGATGTGAGGACGGAGTGAAGGATCGGTGAGAATATGCAATCACTTGGACCATCAGGGACTGACACAACATAATGTTTACTAATTCTCTACCATTACTAGCACCCAAATTATCTCAGGCCTATAATTTCACGTCAACATTACCTTTATTCACTATCAACATATTGTGCATAGTTTACTTTAGAGAGATGAGGCCGTTATTAGGGACAGGAAGCCAGCTACTGCCTGTTCCTGAGGGTGCACCCTAAAGCAACTTCTAGTTCCCGAATCCCTATTTTCCTTCTTAGGTAAATAAAGGCACCAGGTAAAAGGAAACGTGCCCAACCGTTTCTGTCCCACCAGGGGATTGAACCCGGGTCCCTAGATTATGAGCTGAGGACGTAGTTAATTCTGATAATAGTGAGTTTACATTAGTATACGTGATTGCACAGAGATAATACTTGATTACCATCTTCTCTTCTTACAATCGGGGACCCCAAGACCCCGGGGGGACAGAAATGATTGGGCACGTTTCCTAGTTGTAGAGTTGCATCCTGAGGAAGTAGTATCAAGCCACTAATTACGAACAGCTTGTAGGACAAGGCATGAAAGACTGAAAAGAGCTCTCAGGTTTCGTTGATAAACTAATATCTATTAATACATTCGAGAAAAATTATATAAAGTATTTAAACGAAAATCAGGCATTCATCAAGGGCAGTTTATGAGAATTTTAGGAAGCAGAAATTAATTGTAATCTTGAAAATGTATGCGGAAAAAAATCTACAAGAGTTTCAGGAATATTTGATTTAGCATTATTGGGGGTGTCAGTAAGCTCGTTATAGGTTCATCGAGGTCCACCTTGGCCCACAACTGGCCTTCGCCACGATGCGACCCACAACAGTCACCTATACCAATGTACTAAATGCTTACTACTACGTGAGCAAAAGACATGCCAAAAAAACGTCTCGCTCTGCCAGAGAATCAAACTCGAGTCTAATTAGCTGTAAACCAACTGCGCTAACCCATTTGATTATTCCTAAATACAAGCCCCGACTGATCCCATTGATTGGATCAGCCTCAGTCAAGGCAGGGCGACAGTCAGTGCTACAACAGCAGGAATCTTTTCAAACGTTCAATTTTTAAAGGTCACTCTGGGTCTGAGTATTCTTCAGTGACTCCCTAACATCAGTCCCCTCTGGCAGGGTCGCTTCAAAACATATATCGGCAGTCACACACAGAGATCACACTAACTTGATGCATCAAATGAACAAATCCTCGTCACGGCCCTTGTGGATTTGTTCATATATCGGCAGTGCTAGTGAAGAGCGCCGACCTGTCCTCACTCTCCAAACATAACCACAATTAACTCAGCGGGCAAAAATATGCTCCAGTAACGTTAAATCTACATGAAATCCACGTAGGATCAATGTTCATGCAATGCTACAACACCATCATTTGGCTGTGTGGATGGGGGGAAGGTACGAACATGCCTTAACGAGAGCAATGGATCTCCTGGCAAGAAAGGTGCTTTTCATATTAAATAGTAAATTATATACACTCCGAGCCCTGATTTTTGTCGGTTTTCCCCCGAATTCTTTTTTTTTAGCTATTAAGAACTTGCATGGAAGGAACATGAAGAAAGTATCCAAATAATTGCCTTCCGACAGAAACTTTTTTAATGTGCACTAAAACAATTTTAGCATTATGCATGCTATAAGTGACTATACAAACCATCTTCCGATGCCTATATACGAGAATACACTCACATGCACTTATCGCAGAATCAAATTATGCTCCATTTAAGACACAAATGCAAAAAAATGTTTACAAGAACCACGATATATATATTTTACAACATCAAGTTTTGATTAAATAAGGCAGTAAACATGGCAAGCAAACAATACAGTAACGACCACATGCCATCCACTTACTCTACGAGCTACCAAATTACCCAGTGGGAACAATATCCAAACGTAATCTTAATTCCACGTTGACTTACGTTAGTCATGGATACTATGCCCACTGGATGATACAAGCTTATGAACAGTATCTCGATGCAACAATGAACGTATATCATCATGACTGCAGATATTGCAAGAGAAATGAACAAACAGGCACACAATTTTCTTGCACGATTGACAGCAACCGTATACACCTGCCGACACTCACTATAGGCTGGCTATATAATAATTTATATACCCCCCAGTGGGCACAATGGGTCGGGTGTTAACGCTATATCAACATGGAGGAAACAATGGTGATTTAACATTACTCTTGGAAACGACGACCCATTGGGACTGCCCTTTTATTTTTTTTCAGTACTACCAGATGAATAGATCATATAACATATAACAAAAGATTAATATTTTAGTAGCCATTTTAGTAACAAAATACTTATAACTTAAATACCAAATTCCAGAAATCAGTAAACAGGTATTGGGGACGGACAAATGATTTGGAACAGCTTGACTTCTTAATAATTAAATTTGATGTAAATTAAAACATGTGACAGACAGACAATCACAGACAGACACACACACACACACACACACACACACACACACACACACACACACACACACACACACACACACACACACACACACACACGAGGGCGCGCAAACATGACAATAATTAATTGAAACCTGTCACAATACAAGTACCCTATAGCGAGGTACTGGGCTGTTCTCTATAGTTACCCATCACCTGTTTTCAGTTTTCTGTGATCCCGCCACCTCGACAAGTGAGTGCTGTTGTTATTACGGTTAGTGTACTTACATGGGAGCTTACCGTCAGGGTTCATAGTGCCCTGTGACCCTGTCGCCCCTTCCTCTGACCCTAGGGAAGAAGGGGAGGGCAAGGGCTGACCTGTGGCGAGGGTCAGACCTAACTGGTCTGCTAGTTCCTGATGGTCTTGTTGGTGGATGTAGTCGAAGACACTGCTTCCGGTCATTTCCACCTGTACAGGGAAGAGTTGTATTATTTGCTGTTTAAATCTAAATCTAAATAATCTTAATTATTTTGCTAGAAATTACCTACTTAAAATTATCTGTTAGATTAAAGACCTGCCCGAAACTCTGTGCGTGTTAGTGGCTTTATAAGAATGGAAAAATATCAATGGTATGTATTCTTATAAACCCAATGTACCTTGTATATACATAAATAAATAAATGAATAAAGCCTCAGAATATGTGAATTGATAAAGACATAAAATAAGGACATATATAATATTCTTTCTATAGGCATGATTCGATAAATTTTTTAGTTTTTTAGAACTTTCCAAACAAAATTAAAATAAACAAATTCGTATGCTTTACAGAAGTCGCGGAAAGTCTGAACAGAAAGCCTGAACCATCATCTGGTTCTTGGAAGATGATACCCTATAGCTGGTTCCTCAGACTTCCTCCTGAAGTCCATACTAATAATTCAGGAGCAAGAAGAACAAATCTAGGCCTCACCTTGAACTCTTTTTAAGTGTGAAATAACCTCTTGCAACCAGCGCACTATAGATCAATAAATGATGCTTTGCCTGATATCCATATAACCAAACCTGAAGACAGCACACTCCTAGGAGCGCCTCTTGGACCTTAGGCCGTCGATAAGGTCCTTGTTAGGACCAGCCTCAAGCTAGGTGACTACAACAGCTTATTGAAATCACTAATAGTGATTTCCAGTGATTTCCAGCCTTTCTGTCTTGACATACTGTTGAAGGAAATCCTCCTGGATTACTTGATTTACCTGAGAGCCACTAACCCTAGTGGCCTCGATGAGGACAGGAAGCCGGCGGCTTGTCGAAGGTTCCCCCCTTTGCCTTGATGATCTTTTCTAGGTATATTTTAAAACAACAGTTTTGGCAGTTACGGCTTCGGCGGGTAGGCAGTTCCATGGGTTAATAATCCTGTGGGTGAAAAAGCATCTCCTGTTCTCAGTCCTACATTGTGGCTTGTTGAGCTTAAAACCTTGTTTGTGTTCCATCCGACCTTCTGAAAAAATATCTGAATCAACATCTTCTAACTTGCTCAGTATTTTAAAAGTTTCAATGAGGTCAGCCCTGTCATGCCTAGTTTGTAGTGTTGATAGCCCTGTGGCCTTCAAGCGTTCCTGATATGGGAGATGACTTAGCTCTGGAATGACTTTTGTTGCCCGGTGTTGCACCTTCTCTAGAGAGGCTATGTCCTTCTGGAAATGGGGTTTCCATGCTTGGATACAGTCATCCAAATGGGGGCGCACCAGAGATTTATACAGTTGATTTATACATTTATTATCTACCCCAACTGGCAGGGATTCCATGATCGCAGTTTTATACACTGCGCCATTAAGTGGGTCTTTCTTGTGGCTCCAGCACTACTTCCACCAGCTGCAAGTAATCCAGCTGAGAGGGCCCCATTGTAGATTAAACAGCTGAAGTGTGCCTAGATGCTACACCACCACCATGGGATATGACTCGCCTCACAGCAGTAGCAGCTCTTCATGCAGGCGATTTCTATTAGTACCTTACCTTGAGGTTACCTTGAGGTGCTTCCGGGGCTTAGCGTCCCCGCGGCCCGGTCGTCGACCAGGCCTCCTGGTTGTTGGACTGATCAACCAGGCTGTTGGACGCGGCTGCTCGCAGCCTGACGTATGAGTCACAGCCTGGTTGATCAGGTATCCTTTGGAGGTGCTTATCCAGTTCTCTCTTGAACACTGTGAGGGGTCGGCCAGTTATGCCCCTTATGTGTAGCGGAAGCTGCCCCAATCCACACCGAATATAGGTGTATTTGCCATGAGACTGTGTCTGACAGGTACTACCAGCATGGCTTGCTCTGCCTCAGCACAGGGGGATGGCACTCAAGGCATAGTGAAGCTAATGACATTAACATTAGCCTCAACCACAGCTGATTGTCCAGCAGAGGACGCGCCCCGTAACCTAATCCTAATGCCCCGTAACTCTTAGGAGCCTGTTGGTCGCCCAAACAGGATGACAGTGAACTCCAGGAAGAACAGTAGGCTGTTGTTGTGGGACTACACGTGCATATCAACCTTGTCTAACACCTACACTGACTTCTGGTTTGCGCATCCGGGTGGTGCTGCCACCCACAAGGAGTCAGCTAGCTCTTGTAAATACATAGATCTGGATCACCATTACAATTTTGTCTGCATTGCATCAGAGCACTTGTTGCCTGGGATAAAAGTGCCACTAGTTTTTGAAGGATCTTCGTTCTAAGCTAATCGAAAAATAAACCCAGAGACCCTAGAGCTGGCAGCTTCCTTGTTCAATGCCTCAGCGTTGTGATACAGAAGGGAATGTACACACTGCATTCATGAGTCCTGACCCCTATCTGAGGAGCTGGAGGAACTCGACAGCTTGTGACAAATTTGTACCATGTAACATGTTGTAATCCATTTTGTGTAATAAAGTTTCACATAAATGATAATTACCAATATATAAGGAAGAACCCAACAAGGCTCTACCAGGTGCTGCATATCCTCTTCTTTAAGGCTGAGGGTCCCTACAACCAGAAGTGGTACTCCCTATATGTATACATCATTCTCTCATGGTAATCATGTAGGGAGAGGGAGGTTGAGGTCAACCTCAACCTCCCTCTCCCTTCTTCTCAATCTCCCCCTCCTTCCTTCTCTCTCTTCCTCCCTCACAACCCCTCTCCCTCCCTGCATCCTTCCTTCCATGATTCTAAACATTTAATTTAATATGTTATTGCCTCTTCGCCAGTCCAACGTTCATTTTTGTGTGTTTCTTCACCTCTTAGTGGTCGTCTTGTTCACATATTTATTAGTGTTCTGCTTCTCTGTTCATCATCCGTTGTTTATCTTCCGTGGTGCCAATCTGTACTTGTCATTGTTCTTCCTTCAATGATTCCTTCTTTGTTTCGTTCCCTCCCTTTCCCCCACCTCTCTCTCTCTCTCCTCTCTCCTCTCTCTCTCTCTCAGGTGTTGGAGTTTCTTACTTATCTTTTCCTCCCTCGTGTACTGCTGTCATTCCTCCCCAGCTCTGGTGTTGGAGAATCTCCCCCACTTCAGTGTTGGTGTTGGAGGCGGCCCCCTCGCCTAGTATCGAGCCGGGCGGCCCTAGTGAGGCTCGTGCCCGGCATCCCAAGTAGCCCAGGCCGCAATGCGAACGATGGTGGTGGTGGTGGTGGTGGTGGTGGTGGTGGTGGTGTGTTGGGTGGTAGTGATGGTGGTGTGCTGGGTGGTGGTGGTGTGTTGGGTGGTGGTGGTGGTGAGTTGGGTGGTGGTGGTGGTGGTGGCGGTGGTGTGTTGGGTGGTAGTGATGGTAGTGTGTTGGGTGGTGGTGGTGTGTTGGGTGGTGGTGGTGTGTTGGGTGGTGGTGGTGTGTTGGGTGGTAGTGATGGTGGTGTGTTGGGTGGTGGTGGTGGTGGTGGTGGCGGTGGTGTGTTGGGTGGTAGTGATGGTAGTGTGTTGGGTGGTGGTGGTGTGTTGGGTGGTGGTGGTGTGTTGGGTGGTGGTGGTGTGTTGGGTGGTAGTGATGGTGGTGTGTTGGGTGGTAGTGATGGTGGTGTGTTGGGTGGTGGTGGTGGTGTGTTGGGTGGTGGTGGTGGTGTGTTGGGTGGTAGTGATGGTGGTGTGTTGGGTGGTAGTGATGGTGGTGTGTTGGGTGGTAGTGGTGGTGGTGTGTTGGGTGGTGGTGGTGTGTTGGTGGTGGTGGTGTGTTGGGTGGTGGGTGGTGTGTGGTGTGGGTGGTGGTGGTGGTGGTGGTGTGTTGGTAGGTGGTGGGGTGGTGGTGGTGTGTTGGTGGTGGTGGTGTGTGGGTGTGGTGGTTTGGTGTTGGGTGGTAGTGTGTGGGTGGTTGGTGGTGGTGTGTTTGGGTGTGGGGTGGTGTGGTGGTGGTGGGTGGTGGTGGGTGTTGGGTGGTGGTGGTGGTGGTGTGTTGTGGTGGTGGTGGTGGTGTGGTGGTGGTGGTGTGTGGTGGTGTGTTGGGTGGTGGTGGTGGTGTGTGTTGTGGTGGTGGTGGTGGTGTGTGTGGGTGGTGGTGGTGGTGGTGTGTTGGGTGGTGGTGTGGTGGTGGTGGTGGTGGTGGTGTGTTGGGTGGTGGTGGTGGTGGTGGTTGGGGGTGGTGGTGGTGTGTTGGGGTGGTGGTGGTGTGTTGGGTGGTGGTGGTGTGGTGTGTTGGGTGGTGTGGTGGGTGGTGTGTGGTGTGGTGGTGGTGGTGGTGTGTTGTGGGTGGTGGGTGGTGGTGGGTGGTGGTGGTGGTGTGTTGGGTGGTGGTGGTGGTGGGTGGTGTGGTTGGGTGGTGGTGGTGGTGTGTTGGGTGGTGGTGGTGGTGGTGGGTGGTGGGGTGGTGGTGGTGGTGGTGGTGTGTGGTGGTGGTGGTGGTGGTGGTGGTGTGGTGGTGTGGGTGGTGGTGGTGTGTTGGGTGGTGGTGTGTTGGGTGGTGGGTGGTGGTGTGTGGTTGGTGGTGGTGGTGGTGTGTTGGGTGGTGGTGGTGGTGGTGGGTGGTGTGTGTTGGGTGGTGGTGGTGGTGTATTGGGTGGTGGTGGTGGTGTGGTGTGTTGGGTGGTGGTGGTGGTGGTGGTGTTGGGTGGTGGTGGTGGTGGTGGTGTGGGTTGGGGTGGTGGTGGTGTTGGGTGGTGGTGGTAGTGTGTTGGGTGGTGGTGGTGGTAGTGGTGGTGGTGTGGTGGTGGTGGTGGTGGTGGTGGTGGTGTGTGTTTGGGTGGTGGTGGTGGTGGTGGTGTGTTGGTGGTGGTGGTGGTGGTGGGTGGTGGGTGGTGGTGGTGTGTGGTGGTGTGTTGGTGGTGGTGGTGGTGGTGGGGTGTGGTGGGTGGTGGTGGTGGTGTGTTGGTGTGGTGGTGGTGGTGGTGTGTTGGGTGGTGGTGGTGGTGGTGTGGGTGGTGGTGGTGGTGGTGGTGGTGTTGGGTGGTGGTGTGGTGGTGTGGTGGTGGGGGTGGTGGTGGTGGTGGTGTGGTTGGGTGGTGGTGGTGGTGTGTTGGGTGGTGTGTGGGT